ATTAAGATATAAACAAGAACACTGCCTGTAAAATGTGAAGCAATGCTTCTTTTACATTCAGTGGCAATATGGCCTCCGTTGCAGTACAGTTTTCAACTTGGAGTGTAACAATTAAGAACATTAAGACACTGATGAAGAAGGTCCAGAAAAGATCAAAGAGAATGCATGGAGGTTTAAGAAACATGGCATGGGAGAAAAGCTGGGAGTTGTTTAATGTAAAAAAATGAAGACTGGGAGCATAAAATTGTGGTCTTAAAACACTATAAAGCTGTGGCAGAGAAGAAAAGTACAATTTATTCTCCATTCCAGAGAGGATAGAACAAGAAGCAATGGTCTTCAGTTGCAGTAAGAAGGATTTAGGTTCAGTATTGGGGAAGACCTTCCAATGGTGCAGGTAGAGAGCAATGGAATAGGATAAACTAGGTTACTAAGAATAGACTGGGTAAACTGGGTATCAAGGTTGGCATAAATGTAATTGATCCTAATTGTAGGTAGGACCATGGATTAGATGATTGTTCTCTTGAGCACCCTTCAGCCATGTTTCTGTGACACAGGACCAGAAGAGGGGAAGTGTGTGTCCACAGTCCTTCATTATTATAACTTCTTGCTCTGCAATTTGACAGTGGGAGAAGAATAAATATAACTTTCTTACTAAAATGCCTGCTTTGAGTTATCTCAGTCCTCTGTCGTGAAAAGTTCTTAGGTGAAGCTTACAGATGCCAAAATTATATGTGTCTGTTAAATAATTTTGAGTAACAGATGCAAAAATACCAAACACAGATCTAGTGTAAGTGCCTCTGGTCTTGATATTATGTCCAGAGTTTGATACAAGAACATATTTATACTACAGAATAGGAATTACCTAGAGTTTAAAGTAAATATTACTAGGGAAAAAAAAGAAGAAATACAAATAATTGTCCCTAGTAGTAATCTAAGTCTATGGGTTTGACCAGAAACAATTTTTCACCCTTGTGTTTTTTTCTACCAGATCTAGGTAAAACTAAAGAAACATATGGAAAGGTTTATCAGGATACTGTATTGAAAGAAGTGTGGGAGGCCTATTTAAAAAAAAAAAAAAATCAAACCAGCATACAGAAAATTGAAAAATATAGAGTCACAAAATAAATTTCTGGAAGCATCTTAGCTGGGTGGTAGACTGCATGAACTACTATGATTCATGGACTCCCCTGTTATTAATTTCTTCTCTTCGATTACCTAGTCTAGCATAGGAAATGAGATTATCAAAAGGAGAATTTTTTTGAAAAAAACATCCTTTACGATCCAAGGTGATTTTTCAGACAGTAAGTCTGTGGGTCATTTATTCAGAAAGGTGTGACACTAAACATTAGAGAAATCTTCAGCAACTGGAAGCAGTGGAAACTAATGAGAAACAAAACAAAGCTTACTGAACATGTAAAAAGCACCAATTTCTACTTTCCTTTTTTGAACAAGAAAAACAAATACAGGAAGAGCTGAAAACTAAATATAATGGATGAGCCTTTAAGAACTGCAACTGGATAAAATCTGTGATTTTAAAGTCTATTGTGTTGTGAATAATGATATTAACAAACAGGAATGCAACCCTTGTCACCCTTGTTAACTGCAATTAAGCATTTCAGAACAATTACATTAAACAACAATGCCAGTTTCCGGTGTATCTTAGAAATACAGGAGGTTATCTGGTGTATGACAGTGAGGAACCAATGCCAAAGGATTAAAAAAAAAGATTAATTTAATGTTTGGCGGGACTTAAAATGTAACAGAGAAGAAATAGCATTATTACCAATAATTTGTGAGTTAAATCCCATTACAAAAATTTTAAGTGTGAGAATAAATAAAAAAAATCAAAATTGTTGCTTATAAAACAAAAGCACAAACCAATTCTCCAAACAGGAATGTTATTTCTGCATTAGACATAACATTTGCATTTAAATAGAGAGTTCTGGCATGTGATCTCTATTTAACATTTACATCTCCTTATCTGAAGCTTTGCTAAAGGACTCACCAGAAAAGCTGCATGCCTTCTCATTTAGTGGTAGCAAACCTGCTCTAGTAGCTAATGCCTCATAACACGTCTTTTTACCTCTTAAATTCAGGAAATGAAAAGGAATAGAGAAGCTGAACTCAGCACCAACGTGGATGCCTCACACACAGCAGTACTCACCTGATGTGTATTGCAATGATAACCTTTTCAAGGACTGCTGGTGCTTGTGCACAAAAGAAATAGTAATTATTATTAATACAGATTATAGGATTTTCATTTTCAAAATATTTATTTTTAAATATCTGGTTTCCAGCAGATAAGGGCTGAGAAGGAATGGGAAATGCCACAGCTAAAACTAAACAACTTGCAAAAATTTAGTACTGGTAGCTACCTGGAGAAACCAGATAGCCAAGTGCTGCATAGGCCAAGTGATTTAACCTCTCATGAAGCAATATTTCAGGTGAAAGATACATTATTTAAATGTGCTTATTAATTTAGAAATCCTGAGAATAAAAAATAATTTGGAATTGTGAATGGATTTTGAAATTTGATCAAACTGTTGCTGAATTTGGTAGCAGAGATGCAAAGATTAGCTCATGCTGCTGATAATGTGAATTCACACAATCAATGTCTTAGCATTTTTGTAAAGAAACACACAGACTTAATTGCAACTGCCAAGTGTCACAGAAGTCCACATTTTGGCTGCAAACTTGACAAAAGAGAACAAGTTATACAGAATACAATAAACAAAATGTTATTACGGCCAAGAAGATAACCCCTTCTTGGTACACAGGTGAGTGAGTCTATCTTAATTTTAACAAAATTGCTCAGCTGCACAGCACAAGGTATCCACAGTTTTCAGCATAGTGGGAGTTCATAGCAGAGCAACTCAAGACAGTCATTTGCAGCAAGGTACTGTTTTATACTCCTGTGCTATACACTATGAAGAACAATATGGATCTTTTCTTTCATTCACAATGGTCTTGTGAGTCTGCATCAGCAGAACTATTCCAAGTAGTGGACCATTTTGTAAAAACTTGACATAGGACTGTCTCATGCTGGAGTCCTCTATTCTAAGAGTTATTTGCTCCTGCAGTCAGTAATGAGTCAAATATATATTCAAAGCACATTTATTTATTCTGTCTCTGAGCTAAGAGACCATGATATAATGCATGCTCACCAATGAACTGGTTGATAGACGTAGATGAAGGTTGCCGCTGTCAGTGCCCAGCTGTTCTGAGTTTCTGTTATTCACCAAATATAAATATCCTTGTGTAGTATGTAAACTCATATTTACAAATATGAATTTTAAAAATATTATATTATATCACCAGCTCCAGTCTCTGGAGAAGTAAGGGGTTGGAGGTTCATGGGGTATCTCAAGTGATCAAAAATCATGGTTCAAGGGCATAATAACCAGTTCTTAATAAGTGTAATGAAAAACACCAGTGTCTCCTCCAAGACGTATCCAACTGTCAATAAGCTGAAATGAACCCAGAACATATATATATAACGCAACCTGTATATAGACAATGGGGTACTTCCACTCAGCATTCACCATTGGAAATGCAGTTCAGAGCCATCTGTGCTGGCTTTGCATGGAGCCTGTTAGGCTTACCAGCATGTATAAGTGACAGTGCCTCCCAGTAAAAAAACAGCTGGATCACTGGAGTCATGCTGCTGTCTTGGAGGTAGCAAGCATAGCATTGCTTACAAGGTGCTGCTCTTTGGTCAGTGAACTGCCTCTGCACCCTCAGCATTTTCCATAACTTAGATAAATTGACTATGGATAGCTGAAAGTTTACTGTACTTACTCTGAACTGTAATATTTGACCCTGGATACTGCAGGTGACAGTACACATGGATACTTTTGACCATAAAAAGCTTTATAGATTGAAGATTTCCACTTCCCTGTCTGCTTGGAAAGGTTCTGTAAATTTTATAGTTCTAGTGAAAAGTACTGAATGGAAATCCCTCAGCAGGATTAGACTTCCTTTTTCTCCAGTCTATACCAAGGCTTTTTATTCCTGTTCCATTCAATTACTATTACATGCAACAAGTTACCCAGTAGCTAGACAGCTGGTAATGTATTTTACATTTCTGGCTTTGAGCTTTTAAATCCCAGAGGCTTTGCTCAAATATTTTTACTGTGTGGCTGAATCTTCTCATGTACTGTCTTAGGCCTCCACATGGTATCCCTGAAAGATGTTTAAAGGATGCATAATATTTTACAGGCCTCTTAAAATCCTTCCAATATAGAACAGACAGTTTTTGTACTCCCCAAAGAGACTGGCTAGTAATAGAAGTTATTGATCTGTAAATATGGCTGGTATAATCAAGGTAAAGAAAAAAGGCCATGGAATGATGTGTTTCCTACAGCAGTCACCTATAGAACTTCACTAAATTTCTTTCTCCCTGGACAGTTATTTTCCAAAGCACAGAGCAAGGTGACACAGAGTTTGGTTATCAGTGAAGTTTTAAAGCAACTTCATAAAAGGAATGAATTTGTTAAATATGGTGTATAGATTCACCTGCTAGGCTGTCTTCAGTTTAGTACAGCACATATCCGTGCTTTTATGTTGTGGGTTTTGGTTGAGAGGCAATGGAAAAGCAGTTATACAGTTTGGGAAATATCTGTATTTGCTTCAAAACTTAGATACACTTTGAGTTTTGAATGGATGGGTATTGTATTTTGTGACTCGCTGTACTGTGTCTTAACACACCGGAAGACACTGTAGGATGTTATAATCAGACTTCACATAACACATTTAGGATAGGCAATAATATAACAGTGTTCTAGTGGAAAAAGAATGAGATTGCTCACATTGCAACACTCTGCTTTCCAAGACATTTCCATTTTGGATAAATTTACCTGCCTAGCAGTAGGTATCTGCTATCAATTTTGCAAAGTGGTTTAACAACTGAGAAAGACAAGTCAATAAGGGCTAGGCCCTTGGATCCTTTGCCTGGTCTGACACAGTCTCCCTAAAATTCTGTTGTCTCTCCAGGGCAGTACCTGTAGCACAAGCTCCTTCCACTTTTGCAAGGAATAGGAAAGGAATCCGTAGAGAACCGGTACCAAATGCGGTTTGCCGCTGTAGCGCCATCCAGCGTCGCGCTCCGAGAACAACCATCTTCTCCACAGCTTTGAGAAAAACAACCTCGTGCGCCTGCGCAGGGACAAAAGGCGCGAAAAGAGCGGAGGCGGGGACAGCACGCCCGTGACAAACCGCACGTACACATTTGCAATCTGCGCATGCGCGAGAACCCCTATAAAAGGAGCACACGTGGCCGCCACCCGCGTGTGTGTGCACTCCTTCCGTTTGTGGGCATTCAGGCCTTCCCCCCGATGAAGCCTGAGGCCACCGAAGACCCAGCGAAAGATTCTCGGACTTGGGAAGGTGGTGAAAGACTCCTTCTCTCTTTCTCCTATTCTTTTCCTCTCTTCCCTTGCCCTCCCTCATCCCTCCATTTTCTCCCCCTGACATTGGATCGGGGCGGAATCATTTTCTGGCTCTTTTGACTATGATTCCCAGCTTGCTCCACCTAAATATCTTCTTGCAGGTGAGCAAATTTATCCTGTCACCAGTAAATGCAGCTAGGCCTTGCAAAAGTCTACACTACCATGAGGACAGTTTAGATTCTGAACTATGCATAAAGGAATGGGTAAAAATTGTATCGCCACAAAAATCACCACAAAACTGCACGCAACAGGTTTGGTTTTGGTTTTGGTTTTTTTTTTTTGGCATTAGAAAATAACCACACATGAAAAACATAAGCTGCAGCAGCAGCTTCTCGAAAGTCAAAGTGAACTTAGAGTCACTTGTTCGTGATGATACAGCCCTTACCGTGAGAGAGATTTCAGTAGGGTAAAAGCTGAAAACAACCAGGCAACTGGTATTTCCAAGATTTTGGGTATATTACTTTGCAACCCAAGCCACTTGCCTGTCCTTTCCCCCCACAGAAGGGAGCGAGTTCTCATTCTTACGGAAAACCCACCAATACATAAACAGATACTAATATTTACAAAGCAATCAGAGTTGCATAGAGAGTAATTTAATTCCTTTATTTTGGAAGTCAGCTTTCATTTTCTTGAGGATCACAGAAAAATGTTTTTACAGATGCTAAATCCCACCTGGGGAAGAAGCAATCACAACACTAAAGTTCTCTTTGTTCTCCTTTAAGATTTAATTGCTGAATGAACAATGTGTCACCCATCTGCCCCAAAGGATTCAAACACCATTTTATATTATGGGACTCAATGCAAAATAGAATTTCTGTAACTGAATTAATTTAGCAATGATTAACAGTTTGTCTGATCAAACAAAAAATTTTCTGTTTGCTGGAAAAAAGGGTATGTGGAGGACAGAAAAAGACCTTTTTGAGGAGTTTTGTTAGGCTTACAAAATAATAAGATTTGTGTCACACTAAGCAACCAAGGATTCTTGTGTGGAAGCACCATGTTACTAAACATACACATCAGAGAAGGTTTCTCGGTTATATTTCCTTCCAAATTTGCTGTTCTGCCTTCCTCTACACAGATCAGATATTTCCAATATTTCCTTTTTCAGGGATTGGTGACATAAAACAGTTGCTATGTTCACCAATGTTATGAAGTTTACTTTTACAGGTTCTTTTACTCATTCCAGCCTTTACTGTTTGCTTCTACCCAACCCACTACCATTCTAATTCATCTTCCACTTTGTTTCTGCCAAAAGCTAAACCAATTATTTGCATAGCTGCTCTGTATCTAAATGAGAGCATTAAAAATGTTGGCGTGTAAGGAGAAAAAGAATTAGAATTCTTGGGTTTCACCCTTTTCTTCCCAAAGCAGTTAATTTTAGCCAGAGGCCAAAATGGACTGTCTTATTCTGGACAACTATCATGAGCATCTGCTCCCAAACTATAATTCAATAATCCACGACATGTATTTTATAGAGAGTTGGCAGCTTTCTACAATTGTGATTCTATCATAAAGAGCAGACAGACTGCATTAGGAGAACAACTATTTATCTCAACATTCCAAATTTCTGTTTGCTTCAAACTAAATATGTGTGTCATTTTGGCCACCATCCTGGAGGTATAGTAGGTATTTTTTTGTCTTACAGTTTCATGGACAAGGGTCATCTCTTCTTCTCCAGGTAATGTGGTAAGTTGCATATAATTATTTTTTATTTTCATAAGAGATAAAGTTATAGATATGATATCTCACAGTAGAAAATGCATAGAACTCACAGCTGGTTTCAAGAAATTAATTGCCAGCATCATATCACAAATAAGCCAGCTAGAAAATCTTGGAGGATGTGAAACATGTCAAATACTTCAGCAGAGAGTTCACAGTGGTTCATTTTTAACATAGCATTCTCAAGCATTGCTTCAAACATCTATACGTGGCACTTCAAGTGTTTTTAAATAATCTAGGGAACCACAGAGCAACTTTTGAAAAACAGTAACTAAATCACAACACACAAACCAGAAGGTAGTCTTACCTGCATGTATCAAGATTTCTACAAAGAGCAAAATGCATTGGAAAGGAAAAAACAAAATCAACAACGTTTTCATTCTTTCCCCTTTTCAATCAAACCACATTAATCACTAGATCAATCATACAAGCAGAAAGACAGAAGTTAGTGATTTGTGAGAGCGTCTAGCAGAAAGAGGTTTCAGGGCATAATGTGAAATCAAGGAAACTATGATCCCATGACAAACAGAAACAATTACCAAAGAATCCTGACATACTTGGTCAAATGAATAGATTATTTGAGGTATAGAGGATATGAGAATTTTTTGTGACATACTGTGGAGTAGAATAAGGAGAAGATTAGGAAAGCTAATATAGAAGACTTGGTTACTTCCAGTCTGTCTCTGCAGTTTCTTAGTATCTAAGTGCAAGAAACCTTTGCAAGGGTAATTCATGAACGGTCCTTTAAATGAAAGGATAAGGATATAGGCACTTAGTACATATATTGAAACAATTAACAAAATTTAAATGAAACAAACCACAGTTGTATTAAAAGACTCCAGCAAACTTTTGGAATCTTTATGGTTGTAAGCAAAGGATATCTTTTATAGTTAAAACCCTGCATATGCAGTTGTTAAATAATGATTTCAAAAGAGCATGGATGACACTTCCTGGTATTTAAGAATCCCACTGAATTTCCAGTTATATGACTACCCATCAAGATATTTTACTGTGACTGATATTTTGTTAACCACATGGACCAAGACAGTGAATGTTAAAGATCAAAAATCTGAAGCTGACATTGCCATTATCTTAAATTTATTTAGATAGTATTTCATCTAGTCATTGGGAACAAGAGAAAATAGCTTCTGTGGAAGACAGAGTGGGGTAAACTATGATATGTTTTCCATATTCTATACCAAGAATGCAATTTAGGCCTTAAAATACGGGCTTACCACATGCTAAAACCTCCTAGACTCGTAGCAATTTCCATCACATTGAATGCATAATGACCCCTTTCCTAATCTGGAAAAAAATCCCACAACCATTTCAACATTCATATGTCAAAGTTACATAAAATGGAAGATGTATAAAGGAATATAGTGATAAGCAAAGACAAAGGTGATGTGGTCAAGTACTTGTGTCTACTGTATTTAACTGTTGAGCCTAAAAATGCAAACCCAACCTTAGAGCCATGACAAATACTTCAAACTTAGAGATCATATAGCTTCTAATTGCCATGCATGTGCCTTTTAACCACTTAGAAATTGCCATAAGGCAGGATCAGTGATCAGAAGGGTTAACTTTATACTGCCTAAAACTGAATGAATGGCAAAATATCATTAGACTGTATTAATGATTGAGTGCCTCACTACAGAAACAGTAACTCTTTAAATACACATTTCAGAAAGAAAAATTAAAAAAGGAACATGTTAAAGACAAATATAATTCAAAAGGTTTCTAAGTGTGAGCTGCAATAAACTCTGAAAAACAAACAGGAACTACCCTTAGAAATCACCAGACAATTAATATAATAGTGAATTCAGCTTCATTTTCCAAGATTAGCTATTAAATAATAATTAAATAAACCATTATAACTTCAAGAGTTCAGTGATATTTTTATGCACTACTCATATTATTAACAGTATTTTATTGCATTATTAAAGCATGTTTACATGTTATTGTGCTTATTCTCAGAAACACTGATGTCCGTGGCTGACCAAATCAACATGCAGAAATCCCATGTTTAGTGTACGTCATTCCTTCATGTGTGTCATAGTGAGGCAGCTCTTCTCTCTACCATTTACCCTGCATGGTTTTAAACAGAGCAGTAATTTACACAGATCTAGTGAGGGAAATAACTGAACGATCAACAGACTAAGAATTTAGTTAACAGCCAGTAGAAGTTATTAGATCAGACTGCAGCAAGAGCAATTTAGTATTATATCTTGTCTCCTGTAAGGGAGAAAAAACACACCCCCTGATACACATGTCTAACTATTACGGACCAAGAGAAATATGGTTGTTCAAGTTAATTAGTCCCCCTGTGTTTGATGCAAGTATAATGTACTATCCTCACCCAAAGGTGATGGAGAAGTGGAAGATTGTCCACTGAGAACTACAAGGGCATTGCCAGAGTGTGCAGAGATGCAGTTAGAAAGGCAAAAGCTCAACTTGAATTGGAACTGGCAAGAGACGTCAAAAATAACAAGTAAGCTGCAAGCAGAAACAGAAGGAAAACATAGGCCCACCGTTAAACAGTAGAGGTGAATCAGTCACCCACAATGCTGAAAAGGCAGAGGTTCTCAACACGTTCTTCACCTCTGTCTTTACCAACACGGGTGGGTCCCAGGCATTGGGAATGCCTGGGAATCCAGGTTGATCCAAACATAGACCCACCATCAGTGAAGGAGGAGTTAGTATGTGAATTATTACAGGAGCTTGACCCCTACAAATCGATGGGCCCTGATGCCATCCACCCGAGGGTGTTGAGAGAGCTGACTGATGTCATTGTGGGTCCACTTTCCATAACCTTTGAGAAGTCGTGGAGATCGGGGTATGTCCCAGAGGACTGGAGGAAGGCAAACGTTACCCCTATCTACAAGAAGGGCTCAAGGGAGGATCC